ACCGTGAAAAGAGCCCTTCTGGACAGCATGGGGTGAGAGTGTCAAAGAGTTGTTGTGGTAAGGAGGCAACAGGGTTGACACCTTGGCGTTCGGTAAGTGTACAGGAGAGTGGCTAATGTTGCCAAAGAGCTGGGAGTGGTTTCAACAGAAGAAGTAGGGGCAGAACCACGAATAGCAGCACAGCCTGGTAGGATCCAGATGCCAGCAGCAGTGCCAGAAGCCAGCCAGTGCCCACCCAGCAGGAGAATAAGGGGGCCCAAAACTCTTGGTTACGGCTGAGGCCAGAAGCAACAAGGGCCCAGCCACAAAGACCAGAAAACACCAGCTCCAGCCACGGAGGCAGCCAAGCTAGGGATAGCGGAAGGAGGCTGGGACTGAGATCGAGGAGGAAATAATGCTGGGAGAACAGCCAAGGCTGAGGAATGTAAAGTCTATAATTGCTGGTAGGTGTGAGGAGCAAAGCTGCCTGCCACAGAGCAAGGAGAGATCCGGGAAGCTTTAGAAATTAAGAGAAAGATAGAAGGAATATAGACAGCCCATGTAGAACTAGAGTTACGCAACTATAGAAACATCAAGATAAAAAATGGAGATATATATATTCACACATGTGTAAACAAATGAAATAATGTATAGCTATAGAAAAAAGAGATAGACCTAAGATCTAAGAATCAGAAGGAATCTGGCAACAACTTTTCCAACTCACAAACTTTATTCAAAGGCATAAGGTTTCCTGACTGGCAGCTCATGAAAAAGACAGTAACACTGAATGAAATGTGTTAGCTGGAAAAAATGCTACTAGACTCCTGATCTTTTGCCACCACAGACTTAACAAGGCTCTCTTTCTACAAAGTCTAAGGTATAACTATAGAAATTTAGAAGTAAGCAAATAGATCCATTTTGTCTGAAAAACAAATATTTGTCTGAAAAACAAGTATTAGAACTCCACTCCTGTGGAGATTCACCGTGTCCATGGCTTCCACCGAACTACTTGCAAGAGTGCAAGAACTTGTCTTCTGTAAAGGTGGTTATTCTTTCTGTAGTGTCCCAAAGTAACTTGGATTTATTTTTTGACTTCTTTATTGAACTCCTGTGCTGTTGGATCTATCAGTGTTCCCAGTGGCTAACAATCATAGTAACCACATAGAATAGTATGAATAAATTAAAGCACCCGTGGTAAAAGCGTCAAGACAATGTGGAGCCATAATCAAAAAGGAATAAACACTACAAGCCCTCAACATCCCATCTGTCCCTGAACGCCCTCCGGATGTGCTGTTGCCACCGATTTCTGAAGGTGGTGACCCCACAGACTTGCTTGACTTCCACTGAAAGGCTTCTTCTGAAGCACTGTGGCCATAATGGAAAATGCTTCTTTTTCAGGCCTTCTGGGTGCATGAAGGTAAAGCATCGCCAGCATGTTCTTCCAGGACGAACGTCTAGGATCCGTCAACTCTGGTTGAAGACGGGGTGCTATAGGTACCTTGGTGCCAGCTAAGTCATAAAGAACTTTACAGGGTAAAAGCAGCACCTTAAACTGTCCCTGAAAAGTGGTGTGTCCACTGGGATGAGAAGCTGTTAAAAGTCAAAATGCACAGCCATGACCACGTAATTGAAGCCTTGCCCCTTTCTGATACGTGTTGCACGCACAATGCACGCAGAAAACAGACAGGATTTCAATCTCGCAGTCACGGCTGCCTCCCTGACTATTTTGACCCTCCCTCCACTACCAGTGCGGGGCCAGTGATGTAGGCATAACACAATCACGGCAACAAGCGTCAGCCAACAACTGGATGGCTGCATTTTGAACCACCAACAGTTTCTGGGTGATCTCCAAGGGCAGCCCCAGGTAGAGTGCATTGGAGTAGTCCAACCAAATTGTGATAATGGTGTGAGTCACCGTAGTGAGATCCTCCTGCTCTAGTGAGGGCTGCAACTAGTGCTCCAGCTCAAGCTGAACCAAAGTCCTCCTGGCCATAGCCTCCTCTTGCACACTCAGGAGTAGCAGTGAATCCACAAGGACACCCAGGTTGTGGACCCCGTCCCTCAAATGCCGTTCCAGGGCTTGAGAGACAGCGCTGGAGCCCACAGAAGCCCGCGATGGATGAACAGCACGTCCCCTCGCTTGGGCTTTGTCCCGTCCGGACCCCGACAGCCTCCAGACGCCAGGAGACTTCAGCGGCATCTCAAAGTGGCAGTTTGTGGCAGAGCGTCATCTGCCCGCCGGTGATGCCTCACCCTCAACGGAGGGATGAGCTTTCCCCGTGGGTTCGCGTAGGTATTAAAAAGCAGGGGGGGGGGTTAGGTCAAACTTCTCAGTGCCCCTCAAGAGAGCAACACCAGGCTGATTTCTTGGTCCCCAAACCACCAATTTGTTTTCTGTGTGCGTCAGCTGAGCTTAACAAGCTGAATCATCACAAAACCGGGTTGCTTTTGCGGCAGAAACTGGCACGGCTTCCTCTCCAGAGATCAGGGCAATAAAGCCATAACGGTAACAACGGGAACCTCCCACCTCTCTGGAGTTTTTCAGGATCCACATGCCGCTCTTGCTTCCTACCTTTCCGTCTGGCTCTTCCTGTCTGCAAGAGAACGGAACTGCATCCACACGTTGCATCTGTGGGCAGAGGGTGGTTTCTGCCCCAACCACTGTTAGCTCCAGGAGCAGCAGAAGGCAACCACAGGGGGCCCAGTGGCCTAATGGATAAGGCATCAGCCTCCGGAGCTGGGGATTGTGGGTTCAAGTCCCACCTGGGTCGAGGCCATTACAATTTTATTTGGACCCCAGGAGAGCCTCCAGAAAGAGCCGCTCAGAGCTTTAACCCCAGAGGTAGACCTATCGGCAGAAGGAGGAGGTCAGAGGGGAGTGAAATGCCGGCAGTACAGACCGTGGTAATCAGCCAGACCCACTGACAGCTGACCCAGACCCTCTTGTGAGGGGGTCCAAAGGCTCCCCTTAGGGAAGGCATTCATATCCAGGCCCTGCATTTGAGTTGCCCCAGGTGTGGAGAGCCAGCCCCCCGAATCCCAGGTGGGGCCAAGGATCCCTGGGGGGACCCCAGCCTCCACCGAAGCCTCAAGGCCACAATCCTCCACCCACTGAGACTTGCCCGGTTGTGGAGACCCCCAACACCCCCTCCCTGGCTGCCTCCCTGGCAAGGCCTGCGGTCCAGGGCAGCTGGGGGCTCATGCTGGAGGGGAGGGGAGGGGAGGGGGGCTGGCTGCAGAGAAACCGAGCCAAAGGACAAGGCTGCCTGCGGCCCAGAAAAGGGGCCGAGGGGAGAGCATGTCTTCATGAAATGGCTCCAGCGTCACTTGCAGCCCCCGCCCCACAAACCAGGACTTGCCTGGGGGAGGCAGAGCACAGGTTTGCAGAAGGTAAGAAAGGGTCCAAGGACAATTTAATACACAAGCAGGATCTGCCCCACCTCTCCCCACATCCTCCGGTTGTCTCCAAATGGTTTGGATCCCAGCACCCCCCCCACTGGCTGGGAATGATGGGAGCCGTTGTCCAACACATTCGGGAAGAGGGGGAGAACTGGCCTCTAACATCTCATGGAGCGGTGCCACCATCCTGTGGTCATAGTTAGAAGTTACACCTGGAGGTTGTGTATAGAGGGTGGACTTGCACTGCCATGCTCGGGGTGCTCTGGTTACGCCCAGTGACCCTCCTCTGCATGACCTTAAGCAGTGAGCCGCTGCGGACGGCTATATTATCCTGAATATAAAATGCCATCCCCCGGAAAGCCTGCCCAAAGCCCACCTGGATGCCTTTTCAACACCAGGGTGAAAAGTTTTTCTTCCCCTTCCCATTTCACAATTGTATCCATCAAGTCCGTTTGCATCTCTTATGATCTCCTTCCTTTGGTACCCGTTAATTCATTCTTAAATCTTGTAATCTACCCAGAGTTATCACAAACCTGAGTTACTGGGCAGATTAAAAACAACAGGCTTCAGCTCAACCTGCCAAGACTGAGTGGCTTTAGGTTTGGGGGACTTCTGGTTCCAGGATTATGCCATCTTTGGTGCTGGATGGGGTGGCACTGCCCCAGACAGACTCAGCGCGCAATCCGGGGCCCTTCTGGACTCACAACTCCTGCCTGATGAGCAGGTGGCAGTCGTGGCCAGGAGGGCCTTTGTGCAACTTCAGCCGAGCGCCAGCTGCACCCATCCCTGGATCGGGAGGCCCTCCGCTCAGTCAGTCACCCCCGACACAGACTACTGTAACGTGCTTTACGTGGGGCTGCCGCTGAAGGGCATCTGGAAGCTTCCGCTGGTGCAAGACACAGCTGCGTGGGCAGTTAGGTGCTCGCCCGGAGCGGCGCACGTTACACCTCTGCCCCGCAAGCTGCTTTGGTGGCCAGTTCGCTTCTGGGTTCGGTTCAGGGGGCCCTACACGGCACGGGGCCAGGTTACTTGGGGGAGCGCCCCCCTCCGATCCCGCGTCCCGTCCCGTCCCATCCGATCCGATCCGATCCGGCCGGAGGGGATCAGATCACGCCGCGGTCCTGCCCGCTGGCGTCCCGGCCTGGGATCCGCGGTGGGAGGAAGCCTGCGAAGCGGCCGCGGGGGCCCGCCGGGGGCGGTGCTCCGCGCCCGCACGCCGC